AGAAAGCCATGGTGATCTACTTCCAAAAAACCACAGCCATTGAAAACCTTATGCAGCATAGCTCTGCTCTGAAACACATGGGGTTGCCATGAGTCGGAATTGACTAGACAGCAACTGGTTGATTTTAGGGTTTTATGTTTGTTTGTTTAGGCACCCATGGAGTAATGTGCTTTATTAAAATGCACCTGTTCTTCAGACACCACAGTTTTCACTAGCGGTTATTGATACCCATACCAGTAACAGTTGCCTTTGAGTCTACTTTGTGTTAGAGTAGAACTGTGCCTCAGAGGGTTTTCAATGGCAAATTTTTCAGAAGTAGTTAGTGGTAGACTCCAAATATTCTAGTTTCCATGTTTTAAAAGTCCTAGTTCTATTGAGATAAAGAAAAGAGAATAACTTTATTCCTCTTTATGGTTTTTGATTGCTGAACTACGTGAATGTGTTACCTAGCCAAAATTTATTTTTAAAATCTTCTATGAATCCAGTATTCATAGGCTTATGTAACTCCTTCTCCACTCTCAAAGTAAATCAACTTGTTATCGGTAGAATCCAATAAGGCTACCATCTACAACAGGTAATCCCCAACTTAGGACAGGGTTCCGTTCTAGCGATAATGCCGTTATAAGTCGGTTCTGATGTAAGTCAGTCCTGAGGTAAGTCAAATACCTCATTTTTCTTTCTTTTTTTTTTTTAGTTTTCGTATTATTGTCTTTTATTATCAGTATCTTTATAAATCTGGTGTTTATTTATCTTTGGGGATTGGAAACATTACATCTGAAAATGATAACATCAGCAAATTACTTGCTGCAACATTGAATGTAGTACAATAAGATGCACCAAGAAACAAAACAAACCAAAACGGACGGTCATGAGTGCGCTTCCTTGTAACTCAATACGTCGAAAGGTGGGGACTTCCTGTATAGAAAGGAATTATTTCTTTTAGTTGTTTTACAGTTAACTCTCAAAAATTGTTTTTCCAGTCCTTTTACCCTTGTAAATAAATTTGTGACTACCATACACTAAAAATATTATTTATTATATATGTACATTTAGAGTTCCCAAAGAAATGTCTATAGACTTTCTGTCTATCCTCCTATAAATGACCACTGTTGCCTCCTATAAATGACCCACTGTTGCTTTTCTAGGAATTCCTGGGTGATGCAACTTGTTAAGTGCTCAGCTACTAGCCAAAAGGTTGATGGTTCACACACACCCAAAGTCACCTCAGAAGGCAGGCTTGGTGAACAGCTTCTGAAAGGTCACAGCCTTGAAAACTCTATGGAGCAGTTCTACTCACACACACGGGTCACCATGAATCAGAATCAACTGCACAGCAAGGCATCTAACAACAACAATTGCTTTAATAATGATGATGTTAATGATGATAAAGTAATTGAAATACCATTTGAGGCATGCATTTGCCACTCATAAAATATCACTAATCTTTACAGAAATCATTATCAGGTAAATATTAAACCCCATCCCCAAAACAAAACAAAACCAAACCCGTTGCTGTCAATTCAGACTCATAGTGTCCTATAAGACAGAGTAGAACTGCCCCATAGAGTTTCCAAGGCTGTAATCTTTATGGAAACGGACTGTCACATCACGTCTTTCTCCCGTGGAGCAGCTGGTGGGTTTGAACTGCCTACCTTTCAGTTAGCAGTCGGGTGCTCTGACCACTTCACCACCAGTGCTCCTTAGGTAAATATTAATTCCTCCATTTTAAACATGACAGAGCTGAGATTCATAGAGGTTAAGTAACTTGCAAGGAGCCCTGGTGACGCAATGGTTAAGAGTTCAGCTACTAATGAACCGATAGTTTGGCAGTTTGAACCCATCAGCCACTCCATGGAAGAAAAGACCAGGCACCCTGCTCCCATAAAGATCACAGCCTACCAGAGACACAGAAGTTGGTCCTGGATAGAATGGAGAAAAAAAAAAAAGTAGAACACACCCCAAATTCCTAAAAAAGGCAAGACCTACTGGACCGGTAGAGCCTAGAGGAACCTCTGAGACTATTGCTCTGGGATACCCTTTAAATTTGGAACTCAAACCACTCCTGGAGGTCACCTATCAGCCAAAAGACAGAAAGGCTCATAAATAATATCACCTGTAAGTACTGTGCTCCTCTAAACCATCATCTAAATGAGACCGAACGGTCAACATTTAGTCTAGTCAAAAGATAAGAAGGTAAGATGAGGCCAGGAAGCTAGATGAATGGAAACAGAACAACCCGCATGGAAATAATGAGAATGCTGACACATTGTGAAAAGTGTAACCAATGTCACTGAATAATATGTGTAGAAATTGATAAATGAGTACCTAATTTGCTATGTAAATTTTCTCCAAAATCACAATAAAATATTAAAAACAGAAAAACAAAAAAAGATTACAGCCTAGAAAACCCTATGGGGCAGTCCTACTCTGTCATGTAGGATCACTATGAGTCGGAATCAACTCAATGACGCACAATAGCAGCCAATAACTCGCCAGATTTCCTATGGCTAATCAATAAACCAAACCTGTTGCCAGTGAGTCGATTCTGATTTATAGCGACCCTATACGACAGAGTAGAACTGCCTCATAGGATTTCCAAGGGGCAGTAGAAATCTTTACGGAAGCTGACTGCCACATCTTTCTCCTGAGGAACAGCTGATGGGTTTGAACTACTGACATCTCTGTTAGCAGCCAAGTGCTTAACCACTGTGCCACCAGGGCTCTTTTGGCTAATAAATGGCACAGCTGAAATTTGGAGCCGGATCTGTCTGTATGCAAAGCTTGTGTTCTTTCTGCCGTGGCACCATACTTAGTAGTCTGGCCCTTTCTTGGTTCTCCTTCCTTTACTTTACATATCATTAAGTGCTGCCTCCTGCTGATCTCCAGTGGCATTACACTCTAGCCGGTCCATCAACTTGATCCCTGTGAAAACAATCAGTTCTTGTTGGGAGCAGATCATTTGGGAGTATTGATTCTAAATTTATCATTGCTTTCCATGAAAGCTAAGCATAGAGTATAAATTGCCACTCGCCCCATAAAGTTAATGACTTCTGTGCCCAAATGATTTGACAATTTGTGATTTTTCCTCCCCAGGAAATTTTTTGCTAACATTTTTCAAGGCAAAATATTCAATCCCTGTCTAAAATTATCAAATTTTGCCCTGCAGCAAACTCGTAAATTTTTGTGAGGACTAGTGAAACTTCACAAGGCAAAAGATCAATAATTTCACACTGTTCTGTTCTCGCCTGCTTTCCTCAATGCACGCTATTTAGTTGGAAACTGCAAAGATGAGAAAGTAAAAATTTAAGGGGCAAGTAAGGAACCCTCCCTCATCATTTAAAAATCTCAGTGATATGTTTAAAATGGGAGTGATCAACTATTATAAGAACTCAAGAAAAGGTTTAAACACAGAAGAAAACATTCTTTGATGGTTACAAGGATGGGGAGGGAGGGCAAGGGCTATTTACTAACTAGAAAATAGATAAGAATTATCTTAGGTGAAGGGAAGGACAGCATACACTACAGGGGAAGTCAGCACAACTGGACTAAACCAAAGCTAAGAAGTTTCCTGAATACAATC